CATTTTCAGTGCTATGTGTTACTGCTATGTGTTATTGAATTGCTTTATTTGTTTAAACGGCCAATGTGAAAAAAGGCCTTTGTGCCTACAATTGTAACCGTTGTTTGAATAAATTTGAATAAATTTGAATAAATTTGAATAAATTTGAACCCCACTGGCAGATAAATCTCGATCAGCTTCAACACTAATAATTAAGAACGAAGAAGAAGAAAGAAGAAGATCTACATCTACATCTGCATCTGCATCTGCACCTGCATCTGCACCTGCACATGCACCTGCACCTGCACCTACACCTACACCTACACCTACACCTACACCTACACCTACACCTACACCTACACCTACACCTACACCTACACCTACACCTACACCTACACCTACATCGATATCTGCATCTGCATCTGCATCTGCATCTGCATCTGCATCTGCATCTGCATCCGCATCCGCATCCGCATCCGCATCCGCATCCGCATCCGCATCCACATCCACATCCACATCTACATTCACATCCACATCCACATCTACATCTACATCTACATTTACTTATACATCTACATCTACATCTGCATCTCTAGCTGCATAGTTATATACTAATTAAAATTAAATCACTTGTGTAGTAATCCAGATTTATAAATTTGCTTTTTCAGGATGTAACGTACTAGCATTTCCTCTGGAAGATTGCCAATCAAGCTAACTAAAAAACATCGTTAAATTATTTTTACCCCCAGATAGGAAGATGACAATGACGTCTACTATAGAGATTTTTGAGCACAAGTTAAACGGAAGTGTGTTCCACCCAATCGGCTTTCATGATTATAAAAATGGTTCAGATTTAATAGATAAAATTGACAAACTTGTCGTGCACAAAGATTCTTGTCTAGATGACATTAAAACTGCCATCGAACATTCAAAATATTATTTTAAAAGTAATACGACAAAGCCTTTCGATAAAATAAAGGCGGTCATAGTTTTGACGAGTAAAAAATCAAATTATTCACATCAACATAATAGCAATGATGGTATTTTAGTGCACGTAATTGCCCTCCACAAAAATTTGACCAGTTCGCTTCGTCATAATTTGGATGCATTTTCTGAAAACGACGATTTCTCAACAAATAATATTTTATCTGCAACTTTATGTGGGAAATGTTCACATGGGTGGTTTTCGATTAGTTCTAAAGAATTCCATTCGTGTTACTTATTTGAAGAGGCAGACACTTTATTAAATTACGAGTCAGCTTTAAAACGATGTAACAGATCAAATTCAACTTTACTTGAAGTTGAATCCGAGGAAGAATTTCAACTGATACAAGAAAATTTATCAGAAATCTTGATGCAGCGATACCGTCACATTACCTCAATCATTATCCACATCGGCAACTGTGATGGCTACAACAGCAACTCACTGTGGTACAAGCTAAGACTGAACAAACAAACAAGAAAACCACAATCTATGGAAAAACATGCTAGTTGCGTTGTGATGCAGCTAAATAAATCAAATGGGATTATCGAGATGTCATGGTTGCAGGTAGATAAAGAGATGAAAATAGCGAATTTTTTTCATTGTGAAAAAGTCGTTGCAATATTTCCATTTAGAAGACGTAGAAAAGCAGCACATTCTATATACTATGGTGTCCCATGGGACTTACACACACCTGATATTTCACGGTAAGTCTTTAGATGGTTAGTCCCAATGATATGGATATAGATACAAATTATTGGATAGTTAGCGGGGGAAGTGGCGATAAGGATAACGATAGAGAGGTCAAAGATAGGGAAAAGAAAAAGGACATAGATGGAAACAACGATAAGGAAATAGGAATAACGATGGGGCTAGAAATTATATTAAGTATAGGGTAAGAAAATTGTCGAAGTTGAACAACAGTTTTCTGTACGTAAATGGTTTCCTGTGTCTTATTCTATTGAGTGTTTTGATAAATGCAGTTTAAACCTCAATCTCTTAAATTTTTATAAAATGCCGGTAGTCTATGTCGAGAATTATTTTAAGAAAGTTCGGAAAAGAGGTTATCACATTTGGAAAGTGCGTGACCCCATCTGGCGGGGGGTAATTTACTGGAGCGTAATTAAGTGGTGAATAAATGTTCTTGGGGGGTGGGTGTCGGGTGTGTCGGATGGTTCTAATGCCATGGAGAGGGGGGGGGGGGTAAATAACGGTAGTCGGGTTTAATATGTTTCCTCTAGTGTCTATGTAGGTCTATGTAGGTCAATGTGAATGTTTACTTGTAAATCTATACGAATGTTTATACGCATATGCAAGCCTTGTTATATGTATTTATCAGCACCTATTTAAATGTATTTTTTTATAATTTCATATATCTGTAAACTTGTGTAAACATCAGCTTAGTTTAATTGTTTTTAATATATTCTCAAACATGATAATACTTTCTAGTTGTTTTTCATTATTTATATTATTTCTCAGGTTTAACCAGCGTCACATCAGCCCGAGTGATGCCCAAAATGTTGAACTGTTACAATGTACATTTGTAAGAACTTTAGAACCATCTTTGATGCCTTTTAAAGAATTACCTTACACATTTGTTGGCGATGGCGTAGCAAACTGTGAAGATGGAAGGGATGAAAGCATGTGTTCAAGAGAGTTATACTATAAGTGTCAGGGTAAACGCGTTTGCGCTGCATTTATGCCCATACGAGGTCCGGAAGAAGTTTGCATAAAACACGATCAAATGTGCGACAAAGTACAAAATTGTCCTGACAACAGCGATGAAGAGTTTTGTGCAGACTGTTTAGAAGCTCTTACAGGTGATGGCGTGTGTTTGCCTAGTCGATGGTTCCAAACAAAATCTGAATTCGACACGTTCAAGCGTTACCCTAAGATAGTATTGCCAAATTTGGATTTCACTAACTGTAATGATAATGAATGTTTCTTTCAGAACGATACTGGCAAACCTCTAACACTTTGCAGCGAAGGAAGTACAGAAACTATAAATAGCAAAGGGATACATAAACATAAATATGCTGCGAAATGTCATTATTTTTTAGATCGTAGAAACGCCACTTTGGGTTGTGTTGATAACTCACATTTAACAAACTGTACAGACTTTAAATGCGGACCTGGTTTTTATAAATGTAAAAACTCCTACTGTATTCCAAATGCAATGAGAATGAATGGTATGGTCAACTGTCCATCAGAGGGGGGATATCAAGATGAGGAGGATCATGAAATACACTTCTACTGCCTCCGTGACCCCAACCGCTTCTATAGTGCGGGTAACTTGTGTGACGGGAGATGTGACTGTGGTACAGGCTGTGATGATGAGATGCTCTGTCATGAAAAATGTCCGTCAGGTTTTATGTGTCTGTGGGGGGTCACTAAACTGATAGATAGAAATAAAGTTAATTACACGAATCTGTATGACACACTTGATAAGAATATAAAGCTCTTCCGAGCATCGGGATTGGATTTATCACTTGCTTACGTACCTCGGTATATTAGGTTGGACAAAATTTTAGAACTCCATTTGTCAAATTGTAGCCTGGACGATAAAAAAATGACAGAAATTTTACTTGCAATGAGTGACAGCTTACAGAAAATTTATCACATAGATCTGAGCTACAACAAAATCAGTTTTGCAAATTTCTACGATTTTTTAGGATTTTTTGAGTCATTAAAAATTTTGAATTTATCCCACACATCTGTTTCCCGACTCGTCATTCATAGTTTGGTAACAAGTCTTTTACAGACGATAGATTTGTCCTGTACACCACTCGAATCTTTCAAGTTTTTAAACCCGAGAAGTTCTCCAATCCTTTACTTAAATGTTAGCTCGACAATAGTAAAAACTCTTGATTGGTTCGACGCCGCTTATTTACCAACGTCTGTTGGTACACTTGATATGAGAAATACAAACATAGTTTTTGATTTGAAAACGTCTGAGCATTTACAAAATATAAAAATAGACAACAACATCTATGGCGATAGTTACAAGCTTTGTTGTGAAAAATTTAAGGGATCCGAAATTCCCTCTTATGCATGTAACGCACCAAGTGACGCCATATCATCATGTGAAAATCTGCTTAATGATGATGTGAAACGTTCACTGATATGGCTGGTGGCGTTGATAGGTTGCAGTGGCAATGCTGTTGTCATTGGTTACAGATTTTTCTATGAGAAACAACTATTAAAACAAGGCTACAGGATGTTCGTTACAAATCTGGGCTTGTCAGATTTTATCATGAGCGTTTATTTAATCATCATAGCAGGAGCTGATGTTTACTACCGTGACGACTACGTGTTGTATGACATAGAATGGCGAGACAGTTCACTGTGCAAGGCCGCAGGTTTTCTCGCTACTCTCTCAACTGAGACGTCGTCACTTTTTGTGTTACTTATCACATTCGATCGATATGTAATCTTTAAAAATACACTTAACACGGTACATTTTACCCCAAAGATTTTAATTATTGTCGTAGCTCTGATCTGGGCAACTGGAATCGCCATCTCCACAATCCCCATTTTGTTTCCTGACTGGCAGGTCTACTCGTCCAACACGATGTGTCTGGCACTTCCGGTCAATCTGACCCACCCACTGGGCTGGATATTTTCTTTACTTATTTACATAGTTTTCAATTGTATTATGATGCTAATGATAAGTTTGGGGCAAATTTTAATTTTCAAACAAATAGCCATGCCGTCTAACTCTCTGATAAACACGTCATCCCACAGGAGACGCGAGATCACGGTCGCCAAAAACCTTTCTCTTATTGCCGTATCCAACGTCCTCTGTTGGATGCCTGTCTGCGTCATTGGTCTCCTGTCTGCTGCTGGCTACATCTTTAGTCCTGGTGTCTATGGCTGGCTGGCTGTAGCCATAATGCCACTAAACTCTGCCGTCAACCCCATTCTTTACACACTGCCAGTGGCATATAATGCATTGAATCAATCCAGAAAACCAGCGTCGCAATCATCTGAAAAAAACAGATCCCTAAAAATCAGTATACCCAATCCTTCGCAGGAATAAAGTTATCGAAAACACACACACACACAAATACACACAAACACACACACACATATATATATACACATACACGCAAATCTTACTGAAGATGACATCATCAATATTGTGTATCGTTTTCGAGATCCGAGTTTTAATTCTATTTTTATCCTAAAATCAATGACGCCATTAGTGTTGTGTACTTTTAAACTTCTTACTAACATTGTTTCATAAAAATATTTTTCTATATGTTACATGTGAAGTCAGTGTTAGTTTTTGTGCTACTTATATGTCCTCTACAGAATTCATGTCACAACCATAAAATTACTCCTGTTGCATAATTAAAGTTGTGTTTCTACATTCGAATATGCCTTTAGTTTTATTTGTTGTCTTTAAATAAAATTTATTTTATACATTTAGTACATTCAACATATTTTAAAAAAAAAGTCAATAATATTAAGTTTTCCATACATTGCTGAAGATACTGATCTCATAGCTCCGTAAAATATGTTTCGGACAGAGAAAGAGAAAAGTGCGCACAGTGGCCTTTATATATTAGGATGGTGCGATACCTAAAGCATTTTGTATTTATACATTAAATTCAACCTCATCTATGGATAATTTCGTTGTATAGGTTACAATTAATTAATTATTATATCTCAATTTGGTAAACGCTACGTTTGTTTATTAACAACATAAGCCTATCTGTCACTCATTAGTCGTTTTGTTATTTTCTAACAATATTTAGATATAACTAGACTTACCCGTCATCCCTTGGATAACTGTTGGTTTCGGGGGTCATCCATAACAAAACATCACGTCTGTCACTTATAGTCACAAAATACCAGACCCCACATTCAAAAATACGGTTTTTTATCTTTTAAAAACACCGATTTCGGCTGAGCATTGGTCTGACCTCACTATCCCTTCATATACTGACGTCAAAGGTGACCTACACAACTCTACTTCACCTGCCCAGTGTCCCGCCAAGTCTTAGAAAATATGTTTTTATCGTTTAAAAAACGATTCCGTCCGAGCATGTCTCTGACCACACTATCCCTTCATAAACTTAGGACAAAAAAACAGATGCACTCTACTTCACCTGCCCTGTATCCCGCCAAGTTCAAATAAGCAACTTTATCATTCACATTTAACAAATCAAAAAAAATGAAAAAAAAATTAACATTGACGTGATGTGGTTAGAACCCGTGCCACCCGCATGAAAGCCTATTACACGACCAATTTAGCTATTTAGACTCGTGACATCACTGATGTTTTTTTTATCGTATAGTTTAATACATTGAGTCTCCTTATGCAACTAGATTTACGTGCATAGGCCCTATGTCTAGTAACTTTCAATTAAATTAAATGTTACCTTAAACTAGTCAATTCCATAGCTAAACAAACAAAGATTTATATAAAATAATGAAGGTCTGAAATAGTTTAGTATAGAAACTCATTATTATCTAGATAGAATTATCTAGATTCTAGATCTACGACTCGTTTGCTTAAATCTAGTTTTGCGCAACTCTTGCTAGATCTACATTAGACCTATTCTAGATCTAGATAGATAAATCACAAAGATTTATATAAAATTTTTAAGGACTAAAGTAGTTTAATAAAGAAACTCAAAAATGTATTATGATTTTAAAATAGATTGCATTTTAAACTAATTAATCTTTGGTTTGACCTAGATTCTAGATCAAGATTTATAAATAGCTTTCTTGGACAGTTTGTAGAGCTAGAGAAATTTATTGTAAAACTAAATTAAAAAGACAGTTGAAAATGTATATAAGTGTTGGAACGTAATAAAACCAGCAAACGGACATATTGTTAAAGTTATAGCCGACAGAAAATTAGCCTTATAACGCGTTAAAGATCTGAATAAGCAACGAAATGTTGTATTGGAGCCGCCATTTATTGTACTAAAAAGCAAACAAATCATGTGACGTCACTATTCACTCAAAGTAAAGTCGTTCTTCTAAACTTTTAAAATTAATGTGGTTAATCTACCAATAAATAGATCAATAAATTAATAAACGTCTTTAAATAAATTTGTGATTAACAGTCTGTCCGAAAATTGTTCTCTATCTACATACTATTTTACAGCTCTACACATAGTGCAGATTCGTTCCAGTAGCCAATCAGACAAACAAACAAACAAACAAATAAATATTCAAACATGTAAACAAACTTGAGTTTTAGTAGTATAAAGATATTGCATCAAATTTTGTGACATGATCTAAGTATTCATTAATTAAGGCCTATATTGTAGGATCGTAACTCTTGTATATTTTTATAGTGTTTTGTTTTAGTTATTTTTAAACAGTAGTTCATTCTTATAAAAATTATTTATTTTCTACATGTTAGTGCATAGTAATATAAAAGCTTGTTATTTAAACATTTTAATGCATTTTTCTATGTAATAACATAAACACTTTTACAATTAGAAAAAGTAAGGGCAGTGGAACCCACATAAAGAAAAGGTAACGGGCGCGTTGGTCTGTGTAAAAACAGAGGTAATCAGCGTATATATATATAAAGGTGAGGAATAAGAAAAACGAATTATAATTACACGACGTAAGACTTTACTGAAAACTAAGACAACAAAATATGATTTTTTCTGAGCTGTTGTATCACACACATTTACAAAGAAAACAAAAGTACGCATGTGAAGACAATGTATGTTTATTACAAGAACCCCCCCCCCCCCTCCTCTCCTCCAGAAATAAAAAAAAAATTCCAAAATAAAAGAAATTTAGAAATGTTTAATTTATGAAATTTGATTATCTCTAAGCTCAACAATGATAAAAAAAACAACAGAAAATGCATCCGTATCAAATATGTGTTTAAAATATTGACATTTAAACGAAAATTTGAAACGAAATGTAGTGTCCACGTAATTATAAAAATTACATTAAACATCTCTTAAAGCTTGAAACTTTATTTTATTCGAATTTAATAACAACAATTTAAATAACATTTATAATACTTGGCACACAAACATAAATACACTTATAATCTTTGTTTTATCACTTTCTTTATTTAATACCAGTAGGTACTTTCATTTCAATCGAAATCGAGATATGCATATTGATTGTTTTGTTTTTCAATATTTTTAGTCAATTATTTTTATTTTTAATGATTTATTTAATCTGTGCATAATCTAAAGTAAAGTAAAAAAAAAATGATTCATTTAACTGAAACTTGAGAAATAATATTATTTTACAATATATTTTTTTCTGTTACAAGGTAATTGTTAAATATCTCTATCTTTTTGTGTGTGATTTTTGATGTAATTTGTTATTATAATAAAAAGCTTGGCCTTAATCATTTTTTGTTAGAAGCGTTTCTTTTTACCCAACTGTGATGGGTACCTAACTCATATTAGGGAAAGTAAAGGCGGCTGTGCAAGGTGCTGACCACAACTTCCATTCAAATGTCGAGATAAAGAAAGATATGAACTCTACTTCAACTGCACAATAGATCGCTAGGTCTAAAAATGATTTTCTTTAACTTTTAGAAGCTTTTATTAGTATTAAGAATAGACATTTTGCTTTTCATTTCTAAATTTTGGCGTTTACACCCGTCTAGTAGACCTACCTTGTGAGCTATAAAAGACAGTTATTAGCCAAGCAAGGCCCAACCAGTTTACCCTTGACAGCAATTGTGCTAGTGGATATAGGTCTAGTTATTTTAAAAATACGTTTTAAAATTTCTAATTAGATTAAAATATATTCTTGCATTGTAATCCAAGATCTACCACTGCAAAATTTTAGCTTAATCGGATTATGTAATGTGGGTTAAATCAACATTCGTCCAAGAAAACTACTTTTGTAAAGCTGATTGGCTGAAGTGTTTACACGCCTGACTTGATGCAGATATGGAATGGCAATTTATATATATATATATATATATATATATATATATATATATATATATATATATATATATATATATATATATATATATATATATAAACTGCTCTGTCTTTACTCGGATTACATTCTTTACCAGTGTCTAACATTGGCGTTAAAATATCACTTTCTGTTTATATTGCTATTTCAGTAACCTTGCCTGCTTCCAACCCTTTCTACACAATTAATATTCTAAAATTTGAGGAGCCACTGAAATATTTTAATTTGACGTACTAGAAGCCTTTAAAAGTACTCTACATTTTTAGACTTTGGATATCGAGGAAGTACAGTGTGAGACGCTTTTAGTTGCAGAGGAACAAAGGGAAGCCACCTAATTGTCTTGCACGACGGAAATATAAAATATTTGATTGTTGTCTCCCTTGACTTGTCTTGGTGCGGTCTCTAATATCATGTCCTCTGTACAGTTGTGGTGTAGGTCTGTCATTGTAGGTCAGCTGTAATGTTTCTTTTAGCATCTTCCAGTCCATTGTTTCTTCCAGGCTTCACCAATTTATATAGGAAGTATTTACTTTAAACAGTGTCCGCCCCCTACCCCCTCGGAAGTCTTAGTCAGATAATGCCAAGTACCACCCCAAGCTCCCCCCTCCTCCCGAGAAAACAGTTTGGAAGAAACAATGATACAATCGTGTTTACAGTCCAGATTTTTGGGTGAGTGTATCTTTGAGGGTGGCCATTGATAAATATAGTTAACATTTTCAAAGTTGGTAACATTCTGATGCTATTATTCCATGTCTAAACTCTACGTTGTTTTTACTAACCTGGGTAAGCAATGCTCCCCTATTAAGCGTTCTAAAAATACAATGCTGTTTTAAACACTTATTTTCTCCCATGTTATATTGAAAATAAATTAAGGGAGGGTATCAATAACAAAGCTGAAACAAATTTTAAAGAAATAAAACAATTTGACGCTTAAACATAATGCAGATATCATAAATTGCAAAGCAGATGTAAAAATGGTTTTAAAATTTGACAAGAAAAATATGATTTACCAAGCATCGATACGCTTTAAAATATTGTCTTCACAGACTAAATACTTATAACCTTTTTTTTTTAGAAAAAAACTATTTTTAAAGCATACGCGAATGGATT